GCAACAATGAATGAATGGAATTCCAAAATCTCTGTAGATATTCATTGAAATGAAAAATAAATTAAAATATTAAAAAAAAAATTTCTAAATTCCCGTAATAGGATCCTAGGTACCACACAGGTCAAAGTAAAGACACCAGTCCTGTATTCTTGGAACTGTCATCCAATTCACACCTTCCATTACGGGTTATCCCTTTTACTCTAACCAAAATATTCTAGGTTCCCAGAGCCTCACACTCTTGCCTGTCAAGAACCAGCAGTCTCCTCTCCCCAAGTCCTACAGGCCTGCAAGAGAGGCAGCCTGACCGTGCGGAAGACTTCAGCTGCAACTGTTCATTCCTGGTGGTGTGTTACAACTGAAGCTCAAATACATCTTTTGAGTTTCGTTTCTTAGCTGTAAAACTGAGATTATGCTTCACGGGACTGAGCCCCAAGTGAGAAAAAAACGGTTGTTTTCTTTTCATTCTCAGTTCAGTTCTCTTCAGCTCTCTCCACTTGATTCAGGGCACGGCTGGCACAAGATGCTTCCTCTCAGAGTCTGTTAAAGTGACTTGGCGCCACATCTCGAGCCAAGTGAGTCAGAGAGTCAAACCATCACGCAATTCCGTTAGCCGCGACCCTGACAGCCAGCCCTTCCCACGCTCTGCCTTTCGAGGCCTCGCGAGAGCACCCGTTGTTTCACAGACTCGGAGCCGGGCTTCCTCGGCCTCGGAGCAGCCTTTCCCTTTCCTGTCCCCGCCTTCTCCCGGCGCTCCGCTCTTTGAGTGGCTGATTGAACCGGGTCGGCTGGCTAGAAAGCAGTCGGACAGCCAGTCCATCTTTGGGCCCCGCCTCTGAAGCTTATGGATTGGACGACTGAGTCAGGTGCCATGTGCGCCTACACAGGACTGCGGGTCAACCAATCAGGAGCTTGGAGTATTTTACAAACTGGGAAAAGAGCTTGCAGCAGACCGCGAGAATCAGGAAAAAAGCGACGAAAAGTGTGGCAATCCAGAGGGGCTCCTGGGAAGGTGCGACACGAAGTTCTTGGAGGGAATGAGAGCGGAAGGGCTTACGGGGAAGAGAGGTGGTAGTTGGAGATGGCATCCAAAGCATGACCTTATTAGATGCCAGGAGCTTTTGGGCGTATGAATTGGGGAGGAGGAACAGGCCTCAGGGATGCCAGACCGGTGCTCTGAAGCACCTTATAGGGTAGTTCTACTCTCACATATGCCTGATTGACCCACGATCCTGCCTTCTGCTCCATTTTTATTAGAGCCATCATGACCACTGTCCAGGCCAAGGATCCTTTCCTCCGGGGTGTATCTCCCACTCCTAGCAAGATCCCTCTGCGTTGCCAGAGACGCCCTCCTCGTCCCACCGACAAAACCTGCGCCCAGGACCAGGAGAACGAAGATCCAAGGGTAAGAGGGCCTGGTGGGTGAAGGTAGTAACCACCAGGAGGCAGCACACACCAACAGGGCATCTCAACGCTGAGTCCTTGCTTTTTGGCTTTCCATTAGAGATTGGTGCAGAAGCCAACGCTCAGTATCCAGCATCCTCCCACTGGCAGAACAGAACCCAGCTGGAAAGCCTCATATCAAACAGAGAAATCATTGGGGAGCACTCAGCAACATAACCCCCTGAAGGAGCTCAGAGCTAGGCCTGGAGGACAAAATATGGGGCCTGGGCCACCCTCCCTGAAAGGTATCTTTGGAGACCTGGACCACAGACTCCTAAAATAGGTGAAGTGGGATGGGAAGAGCACAGTGAGATTTTAAGATTTTACTTTCCTTCTGGTCTCCTGCTTATTGAACTATATAGTCCCTGCTGCTGGAAGACTCTTTGTTCTGAGAAGCCCTGCTTTTTCTTCAGAAGAAAGTCATCATGAGCCTTTAGATCTCTCATACTTAATCATTCTCTGTTCTCTCTTAATGTTTTATGGCATTTATTTTGCCACATGTCCATAGTTTAGCTTGAGTCTGCTACCTCTCTGTAGTTTGATGAGTTTCTTAAGCATGGGCTTTTTCTTATTCATCTCTGGGTCCTAGTGCCGAGACTCACGTCTTAGGAAGAGGAAACATCTGTGACCCTTTGATGAACTGAGTTCAATTGAATGAGCGTTTCTGTCAGTTACTTCTGCACCTTAAAATGAGTTTTGTAGGGTCCCCGACCCCTTTCCACATCCTATTCCTGCTTATCTTTCCTTCTGTTCCCTTGCAGAGGCTCCAGGGACGGTAGAGTTTGTGGCTGACCCTGCAGCCTTGGCAACCATCCTGTCTGGTGAAGGAGTGAAGAGCTGTCGCCTGGGACGCCCTCCCAGTCTAGCTCAGAGAGTGCTGGTTCGTGAGAACCAAAGAAGTGCTCTCCGGAGGGGCCAGGTAATGAGACAGGACACAAGGGAATAAAGCTGACTGGTCAGAAGGGCCGTTCATGAGCCTGTGCTGATAGCCTCTGTTGATGTCCCAGGGTGCCCGGGCCTCTGCATATATGGCCCCCAGGACTCCCAAATACCGGCTGGATCCTGCCAGGGCTTCCTGCTTCTCAAGGCTAGAAGGACCAGGACCCCGTGGCCGGACTTTGTGTCTGCAGAGGCTAGAGACTTTGGTGAGTGCCCTTGAAGGGTTGACACTCAGTCATTCTAGGAGTTTCTTCCAGAAGACAACTGACCCTGAGAGAAAAGGTATTTTATGAGGAGCCAGAGAGATTCTGTGGGTAGGTGGTGAGGCCTGAAGGTTTGGGTCCCACCTGTGACTGATCTTATTCCTTGGTCTCAGGGTCATATTCCACCTTCAGGAACATCCTTTCACTCTTCCACTCGCCCAAGTTTCTTGGAACTAAGAAGAGTAACAGGTGGCAGCAACCGGTAAGAAACTGTGGGTAAGAATCAGCAATATCTGATGCAGAGGTCCCAGAATTGGGACCTTCCTGTAGTTTGAGGACTCCAGTAACCCAGGAGGAGCATGGAGAGAGCTATAACTATCTACATTGACCCTTTGGAATAGGATTCAGAACTTCATTACATCAGTCTCCACGGGTGGTGGAGGGAGGGTGGCAGGGATGGGTGTGCTGGAATATAAAATGTGGCAATAAATGGGATTTGGGTTTAAGTCCTGACCTTTAACAAGTTGTTCAGGTTTGCCTTAACTTCTCCAAACTTCAGTTTCTATAATTATCACATATGTCTGTATCATCATTAGAAGTTGTGGGGATTAAATGAGGTGTTATTTGTAAGCACTTAGTACATTGCACAGCTTGTACTTGGTACTCAGTGACTGCTGGCTGCTGTTGTTATTGCCATCAGGACGTCAGTGAACCAGGCCTCGGGATTGCTCCAGGAAACCCCAACCCAGCCTGGTGAGTGTGTGGCCATCGGGGGAGAACAGGGGCCTCCACTGGGGAGTTCAGCAGGTTAAAGATGTTGGGGAGCTAGGTAAGGAGTGGAAAGATGAAGGAACAAGAGTTAAGTACACACTTGTATTGTTTCAGAAGAGGTGGTCCTCATTTCCACCCTCTCCTGCCACTCCCTGCAAGATATACCTTCCACTCACTATTGTCTCCAGCCTCTAAGAGCTGTCAGCACATCCCTCCCTGTCCACTGAGGGTATTCAAATTATTAAATGTTTACTAGGATATGCTAGACTTTGAGGATAAAGGTTATTGGAATGAGTCTCTGCCTTTGATGTACAGTTGTTGAGGTGCAGTCAAGTTGAGTATGACTTTCTCTGTATTCATCTCTCTTCTTTTTATGTATATTTATAGTGTATGTTGTTAAGTACAACTGAACAACCCTATGAACAGCAGATCTGAATCCTAGTCTCTCCTGTTACCACCTCTGACATGCTTGTGACAATTGCTGCAGTCACTGTGTCAGTTTATCTTGTTGGGGGTCATCCTCTCATGATGTCCCTTTACCATCCGTGCCTCTAGTGAGCACTCAGACTACACTTTTTCCAGGACATACATGTTTGTTCTTTTGGCAGACCATAGAATATTCCATACTGTTCTCCAACACCACAATTCAAAGGCATCAATTCTTCTGTCATTCATTGTCCAGCTCTTAGATGTATAGCAAGTGATAGAAAAGACCATGCTTGAATCAGGAGCATGTTAGTCTTCAGATTGACGTCATTGCTCCTCAGCAATTTGGAGAGTAGGGACTGTTAAACGGGTGCTTAAATAGTCTCTTCGTAGGTTGTCAAGACCTGTGCTAGACTCATTGAGCATTTCAGATTTCCTACAGCAGATGTCCTTTTTCATAGCTTCATCTCTCTCTGACGGAGAACATGAGGCTGTCACTCATTCACATGAAGGCAGAGGAGACCGCCTCAGTCTGGCCCAGCGGATACCACTAAAGGAAACACACACTGAGGTGAGATGGAACCCTCTGGGGGTAAAGAATTCCCAGCAGGAGCTGGCATTGTGTGTAGGGCCAGGAAATCCTAGGCCTCAGGGATGGATTTGGTTTGAATTTGTCTTCGGTGACTGGGTCCTGGAGTGAGAGGTCATAGATTAATATATATTTGCATCACCATAGGGAAGCTTTAGGGGCACAGTAGGGAGCTCTGATGATCAAGTGGGTAAGGAGTTACACTCCTAACACAAAGGCACACAGTTCAAATCTACTAGCTGTACCACAAAAGGATGGGTAGTTTCCTCCCATGTGCTTTACAGGCTTGGAAAGCCTGCTGGAGGGTCAGCTATGAATCAGGTCTGACTAGACAGCAGTGATTTCTTGCTTACTTGAATGGCATAGTTGTGCTGATAACCCAATGTCTGCAGTCTCCCAGTTTGAAGCCACCAGTGGCTCCTTGGGAGAAAGGTGGGCAGTTTCTTCTCATAGGATATACAGCCATGGAAACCTGATTGAGAGTTGCTTGAGTCAAAACTGACTCGACAGCAGTGAATTCGAGTTTCAAGTTACATCATCATCAATCAGTGCTAAGGGTGAGACAGTTGTTACACTTGCCAATCAAAAGCAAATCATCTCTTCCCTTCACAATTCTTGAACATGTGCCAGGCACAGATCTAGGCTCTGAACACACAACAGTAAGCAAGTTAACGTTCTGGAAGGAAGAGACAAGCAAGAAACAAGTTTGTAAAATCTGTGGTTTGTCAGAGTGTCAAAGGTTTCTGACAGTTTATGCTTGACCACTAACCTAAAAGTTGGTGGTTTGAACCCACCTGACAACACCACCAAGTCCTGGTGATATGTGCTATGAAAACCATACAGGGTGGTTCTAGTGTGTAACCCATGATTGCACCACGACCTGGAATTGACTCAGTGTCAGTAAGCTGTGGCTTGTTCTCTGTATTGCAGTATGTCAGAAAATGACAAGTTTACTATTAAAAAAACAAGCATTGAAGGGGAACAGGGAGTGGGGAGTTGGGATTGTAATTTTCAGTAGATTGGTCAGGGCGATCTCTTGAGAAGTGAAGACTGGAAGTATTTGAGGGAGTCAACCGTGCACATAGCTGGGAGTCAACCTCCAAGTCGAGAGACCTGCAGGTGCAGAGGCTCTACGGAGGCCAGAAAGCTGATCAGGGTAAGGAAGAGAATAGTAGGCAGTGCAGTTAGAGCAGTGCTACAGGTACACAGGGGAGACTCTTATAAACCAGTGTAAGGACTATGGTCTTTACTTGGAAAGAGTTGGAAGCAGAGATGATGGAATGACGTGGTTTCACTTATGGCTTGGAAGACTCAGTAGTTATGTGGTGAGATCAAGACATAGGAAGGTAGAGAGAGAAGGGTCACACTTCTCATCTTCTTCACAGAACAGCCGTGACACCCACCCCATGACCCCTCCTACTGTTCAGCCCACACCTGGCTGTGGCCGAGTAGTACTACCTTCTGTCACCCGCCTATCACCCTTTGGATTGGCTCAGCGTGTAGTTTCTCTCCATCCGCCAGCTCTGGTTTGTATTCACAACTCTTGGGGGCTGGGCAAGGGCAGAATAGTTTCATCGAGGGTCCCCACTAGCTCTAGGCATTGTCACTGTCCAACCACTTCATTTCTCTCCAGACTTCATATTCAGTGTTGCGGCGTCTTGCTGTTCGCCCCAAAACCCAATTCACACCCATCCAGTCAGCCTCCAGCGTCCAGAAGGTAAGAAAGCAGGGCAGGTACCTGGCACAGGCCAAGGTTGTCAGGAACAAGGAAGGATGAGCACAGGAAAGGTTAAGATGGGGCATTCTATCTGTGGGTGCTGGGCCTTGCCAACATCTCGGTTCTGGTCCCAGGGTCACCGGGTGAGTGGTGTCTCCCCTCCTTCCTGCCCTGAACCTGAAGAACCTTTCCTGCCCTGGGTAAGTACCAGGAAACCTCTCTTCTCCCAGCCCATGTTGAGATCCTTCCCTTTGTCCTTTTGACCTAGAGGTCAACTGTTTGAAACATGTGGGCTGCCTGGAAAAGCTCCCTCGCTCCCACTCTCCTTGCTTCCCTGCTGCTCCTCCTAAACGATGTCTGAGTCTTCTATTCCTTCTTCATGAAGGTAGCATTTTCCTACCCTGGCCTGGCTTCCCAGTGTGTCCCCTTTGCCCCCAATTGACAGGAGCAGATTGCAGTACAGTTATTTGATCAGGAGAGTTCTGTAGGGTTGCAGGAAGAGCCTGAAATACCATCTGAGGCTCCTCATGGACCACTCACAAACAGCACCCCCAACCTTCAGGAGCTGAAGATGCAGGTGAGTGTGGGGACAATAGCATTGATGCCTGAGAAGAAAAAAAGGAGGGGATGGGCTTTAGTGATCAGGCAGTGTGAGTACAGTACTTGAACCCACTCCATCCGGGCTTCCCTCATCTACCTACAGCGCATCAGTATCCTGCAGCAGCTGTTGCGGCAGGAGATGGAGGGGCTGGCAAGGGACAAGCAAACCACCATTAATGGAGGCTCCTCTCTGGACACGACTGAACTTCATCCTCTCCTGACTGAGATTTCTAGAACTCTGAATGCTCCAGAACGTAATTCTAAGATTTCCCACCTTCCTGGACTGTTCCAGCACTCTGAGCTGCCAAAGCCTTGCCTTACAGAGGAGGGACCTCAACCTTTCCTTGCAGCAGAACCAGGAGTATCAGACCCCTGCTACGGGAGGGAGTCTGAGATTCCAGAACCAGCCCCCCAACAAGAGCTTGGGGTGCCAGAGTCCTGCATTCCAGCAGAGACTGTGCCCCTTCAGCATAGTCCCTCAGGGGAAACTGGACTCCCTCAGTCCCACCCCAGGGTAGAGACCAGCACATCAGAAAACAGTCCCATGGAACTCAGAAATCCACAGTCCATTGAAGAGCCCCACAAAAGTCCATGTGCTCCAGTGTCCACCAGCCTGATCGTCTCTTCCCAACCTCCCCCTTGTGCCAGCCCTCCTGTCCAGTCTCTAAGGCCCCCAGCAGGCAGGTCAGGTAAGGAGTTGTTTGGGAGGGGTGAGAACAGCGGATGTGATCATCTCTTACTGGGCCCATGCCAAGCGATCCCGCACTTCCCTTCCTCCACCATCTATCCCACCTTCTCTCAGAAACAAGCGAAAAGCTGTACCTCTCATGTTGTGCCCCTGCGACTTGACCCTGAGGGGAGGGAACAAGGGCAGTGTGTGCTATGAGCACCAGGCCCTTCTAAGTTCCATGACCCTTGGCCCTCAGGCCCCAGCAGTCTGGCCCCTCGAACCCTGGCCCTGAGGCAGCGCCTCAAAGCATGTATGACCGCCATCCACTGCTTCCGTGAGGCCTGCCTGGATGATGAGTGTGCCTTCTATACCAGCCGAGTCCCTTCTTCAGCTCCCCCCCGGGTCTGTGCCAACCCTGTGGCTACGTTACTGGAATGGCAGGATGCCCTGGTGAGCCTCCGAGAGCAGCCAGGCCATGTCTGCACACCAATGAGAAGGGTGGGCTTAGGGTGGGGCAGAGGGCTCTTTTTCAGAGAAAATGAGAAGAGTTACTGGAGTTCCAGAATAGCTGAATTGTAACAATGTCTTCTTTCTCTCTAGTGTTTTATTCCAATTTGTTCTGCTGCTGCTGAGGGCTCTCCATCATGAAGTTCCACCTCCACTTCCCCTATCTTGTACCTTTCTTTTAGCTTTTATTTATTGTCAGTCACTCCTCTAACTGCCATGGGGCTGAGGATAGACACTCTTTTATCCTTCAATAAAGAATGTAAAGCATCCAAGTGTTTTCTTCTAGCACTACCTACGCTGACTACTGGTGTTGCTCTATAGTTGGCCACATGATGGCAGTGTCTTCCAGCTTAGAGACCAGCCTGTGGCTTTCAGGATCCCCCTGGCTCCTCCTTCACCTAAGAGCTGTCTTGCAAGGAGGAAGTTAGACCACTCTTGCCCAGCCAGACCCCTAACCCAGCTTCATAAACGTGTTTGATGTGGGTCTTTGAAGACTTGCTTTACCCCCTGCTCCTTTCATGCAGCACCATCCCATAAGTCATCATTCCTCAGCTGTAGGAAGCTCCTCTTAGAACTATATCCATGCACTAGTCAGAATGGCAGAGGTCCCATACCCAGACCTTTGGGATCCTCCCTTGTACTGAGTTATTGTCTTCCTGGGGCTACAGTATGAGGCCTGAAAGCAGATACCCTGCTTTCCATATCAGAGTGGAAGCCTTGGGCTGCTCGCTTTTCTTCTCTCCTGAAGGCAGACCTTGCCAGGAATAACTAACCCTTTGCCTCTGGCAGAAAGTGACAGGCGGAGTAGGGAGTCCCTGAGGGGTTAATGGAAGGGTCAGTCACTTTACCCCCAATATGAGCTCCAAGGTGAAGCAGCCACACACATCCCCCAGCCTCACTTTATTGGAAGAGGCAACAGAAGCTGTAGCCCCAGGGCCTAGCCCAGATGGGGGTGAAATAGGGACTGTAAAGAATGCATTTCAAATGCCAGGAAAGAATTCTCACTGGTGCCTCCAGTTCACAAGAGGGCTACCAAGGCTGGAGTCTGAAAAAGCAGGTAAGGGACAGAGAGGGTTGTAAGAGAAAGTTGTCAGGACAGGACTAGCGCCTACCCGTCTCTCTTGTCACAGCTGCAGCCAAGATGCACTTGTTTTCTTCCAAACTGCCAGGGTGTCCATTCTGCTGTCTGGACATTTGAGCCTGAGCCTGGATCTGTGAAACCTCCACCCAGGATGCAGCAAAAGAGGGCTGTGACCCACTCCTCTTCATGTCCGGCTTTTCCCTCAGCATCCCCCTCACGTAGATGCTGATGGTTTCCCTAGGAGCTTTGCTCTTTCACCCATTGACCTCTACTCCCCAACCACTTATTCCCCAGAGCACCAAGAGTTCGCTGGAATTCAGGCGCTGTGGTAGTGCAACGGTCTGCCCACCTACAGCCAGTCTTGCAGACAATGGAGTGGTGCCTTGGGCTGGGCTGGGCTGGCTGGAGGTAGGTGGGGTGGGGAATACAAGGGACAAGCTGGGGGGGGGGGGGGGGGGGGGGGGGGGGGGGGGGGGGGGGGGGGGGGGGGGGGGGGGGGGAGGGGGGGGGGGGGGGGGGGGGGGGGGGGGGGGGGGGGGGGGGGGGGGGGGGGGGGGAAGCGCCGGGGGGGGGGGGCCTGGATCAGTCCGGGTAGATGATGAAGCCCGAGAAGGTGCTGTACTTGTTCGTGTTGCCTCCATGCACCTTCCCGCCGTCCAGCTTGATGAAGACCTCATCGCCCACATCCAGGTGCAGGATGACGCTGTTGCTGGCATAGTCATAGTTCTGGTCCGCGTCCTGAGCAATGGCACTGGCCCGGACCTAACCAGAGAGAGTACTACTCACTCCTTGGGCAGAGCTAGGGTGCCACGAAGGGTCAGGCTTGAGGATGCAACTAGCTGCAGGGCTAGGGAGGTCGGCAAAGGCTGGGCCTCAGAGCAGCCCAATGGGACTCAGAGGGCCCCTGGAGCCACTGAACGTCTCAGGCTCCACTATTCATTAACTGGGTGACTAGGGGCAAGGGTCACGTCTTCTCTGGGCCTCAGTTTTAGCTGTCAATTAGGGGAGGAGAGGGGATAATACTAGACTGAGGATTGTTAGAATTAAATTAGCTATTACATACAAAGTCTATATACAGCAGTGTTTCACACGTAGAAAATGCTACATAGGGTATACTATTCTCAAAACCCATAATAGCACAGTGGTTGAGCAGTCCTTGCTAAGAAATGTCAGTAGTTCCAACCCACCAGCTGGCTCTGTGGGAGAAAGGTGTGGTAGGCTGCTTCCCCAAGGATTACAGCCTCCTCGGAAATTCTATGCTGCGGTTCTACTTTGCCCTATAGCAATCGACTGGACTGCAATTGGTTATAATTCCGTTTTTAAATAAAATTCGCCTGTAGTAAAATATCTGATTCCCTCTCCACTCTGACCTCCTGTGATTCCTAAATTTGCGTTTTCCCTAGTGACAGGACACAGGTGTGTGTGTTCGTGTGAGGTTGCAAGTCAGAGGCAGGCGCACTGATGCGCTCTCTCTTTTGGGGAGCTCACTTCCCCTGGGGTGTCAGCTGATGCCTCCACCCACGAGTTGCCTTCTGGTCCCATGAGGGCGCCCCTCTTTCCCGCTGGCTTGGCTGCAGTCGCCTCAGGCCCCGCCAGCCCCCTCCCCAACCCCCCTGCTTCCCGTCCCGCGGGGGCTGGTTATTAACTTATTAATTATTCATCATTATTCTAATCACTATTTACCGTCCCCAGGGCCGCAGAGACCAAGCCGCAGAATACAGAGTGGGAGCTGCGCAACCCCGCCCCTCTGAAACCAACACAATCTAATGACATCCCCCCACTCCCCACAGACACCCTGAATAGAGCACACACACCTCTTTAGTGCCACATACAGATAACACCCCACTCTGCGCACCCAGCACCCGGCAGACAGAAGCTCACTTGCATTGCATCGCCTCTTCCTTACGCCCATTCAGACTCACACACACTCCCCTTTCCAGGGTTCTTGAGGATTCACACAGCCCCCTTTTTCAGGTTCTTAGGGTGGCTCTGCCCAGAGAAGACGCCAAAGCATCTCCACTGGTCTGGTAGTGGAAAGGACGCTGAAGCCAGTAACATGACCCCAGATAAGAAGAGGGCCTGAACAAGGAGGCTTGATGGGCCTAGGTCATCACTGACCTCCGCAGGGCAAAAGCTGAGGTCACCTCTCAGCCTCAATTTCCCCCAGCGACCAGCGACCTGCGACCTGCGTTCCATTACACCCCACCCCCCTCCCTCCGCCTGCGGCCAAGCCTGCTAAAAGTCCTGGGGCTGAGTCCTTGGGCCTATTCTTGCAGTGACTCCAACTCCACTCAGGAGCAGGGAGGAGACTAATCTCAAATCTGGAGGCTGAGAGGTTGTGAGGCCTGCAGGACCAGGCCAGCTCTGCCTACCGCCTACAAATCTATTCCTTCCCACCACTTGACTGATCTCTGAGCTGCCTTGCCATGTTCTATCACCTCCAATCAACTCAGTATTAGCCATACTGGGCGAATTCTAGGCTGGGCCTCAGGCCCCAGGGCAAGCAAGAGGGCAGATACTTTTTTCTTCTCTCCTTTACCTTTTCCACAAAAATCCAAACTCAATGCCCCTATACATGAGCTACTGCAGACTCCCCAGCTACCTTGAGGCTGATTCCACTCTAACGTGGAGTCAGACTTCTATCTATAGCTTGCTCAAGCATAGACTAGGGAATCTGTAGGCCAGGAAAACTGCCTCAGAAGGCAGGTGCAAAGGAGAGTAAGGGCTAGTTGGCAAAGGGAGAGACCAAAGAGCTTTGGCGGGCTGTTGCCAATAATTGAGGTATGAGGACGCAGCCCAGTTGCAATGAGCTTTGAGTCCTGCATTGTGGCCCCAATATCTTTCCTAAAATTCCATGAAGCCCAGTGTAGTTGTGTCCTGTCTCTGACCCTCCTTTCTAGCTAACGAAGGAGATCTAAGTTTCTATCAGTTTTGGCTTTCGGGATTCCATGGCTCTGTTTCGGGGAAGGGAAGTTCAAGGGCGACTTGGAAAACTGCTGGGGTCTGATCCAAGCCAGAGGGGGACAGGTGCCTCTCACCTGTCCGTTCTTCATCAGATCGGCCCACATGCTGGTGCCGTCGCCGCCGCGCATGAGCACATGGTAGGCGAAGAAGTAGACTCCCGGCATGGGGCAGGTGAACTTGCCGCTGGCCGCCTCGTAAGCGTTGCCCACGTTGGTCACCACGTCGTCGAAGCGCAGCACCTCGTAACCTTCGTGAGGTCGCCGCAGGCCCGCGTAGAAGGCGATGCGAGGCACGTAGCCAGCAGGGGGCGCCGCGCCGCC